ATATATATATCCAGGAAATCCTCCATCTGCCAGTAGTATTCCTACAGTCGCCCTCCTGCCCGGCGGGGAGGTCTCCGGGGGTGATGCTTTGCAGGAGGATGAGACAGCGAGTGCAGGGCAAGCACCCGCTCACGGCCACGGTGGGTCAGCTCCACTTCAAAGTTGACCGGCTCAATACCAGAGAAGATGTACAATTAAATAGTAATAATAATGACTAAAAACACCCAAGCAACCCAGCCTTCACCATATTCGTACGCCAGAAGTTCCCTAAATTACCGGCAGAAATAGCAGGTACCCAAAAGCATCACCATCCCTGCTGTCAGGGATATAAACAGTTCAGCCAATGGAAAAATCCTCAAATCCGTATTTTGGGAGTCTCTGCACCTCCAGGAGCTTCCAAAACCAGGACATCCCACCACCCCGCTCCCATGGCAGCAAGGGCGGGATGCCAAAGCTGCAACCTCTCTCAGTACCAGTAATGCCAGGGATCATTCCCATCACCAAATCTTACATTTTCCAAGGTGGAATTTAAAGCCGGTAGGTTTCAAAGCTGTTAGTTTGTTTAACATACCACTGGGGTAGGCACTTAGTGTCTCACTGATGTACAGATTTTATGTCCAGTTACATTTCATGGCCAAATAGTGTCATGTTCTCAGACTGATTCAATAACAAAGAGCCAAGAGGGCCTCTAATATTCTTCCTTTAATATGGTAATCTCTAGTCTTAAAAACCAAAAGCCTTCAAGCTTTTCAAGCTTTCTTTTCAGGTGTTATTCTTTCTTCCCTCTAAACCTGTACTCAAAGGATAAATAACCCAATAACCTTCATATCCACTTATTTTTTTTATTTACCTATATAAAAAATATATAAATAGTTTGACCCACTAGATTTTGGAGCTGTGATATCCTTGCTATTGGGGAGCACTTGCTGAGGAGCATGAGCACAGTGTTGCTGTTGTTGGCTTTGCTCTCCCAAAGACCCCCTGGGGCTGCAAAGGTCCTTATAACTTACATCCCCACCCTTGCTAACAGTTCCTCTGCATATTCAGGCACCATAATTGATCGGGAAAGATCTCATGGCCAAATCCTTAGGAGATTAAATAAATTATTAAATAATTTATAAAAAGGGTTTGGGTTGTTTTTGTTTGTTTAGAGCTAGTTCATGTTATTTCTTGAACAGTTGAAGGTTTTGCATGTTGTGCTCTCCATCACAGTACTATGGAGATCAGACACCATCATCATCATGTCTACTGATGGAAACCAAAGGATGTTGCACAAACATTTTCCCCATCCTTCCCAGCCGCTTGCATTCGGCTCTTTTGGAAATGTGAAGATAAGACCAAACAGCCACCATCTTTCAGACTCAGAAAAACCATGGTCATCTACAGGATGGGTGCTGCTGAAGACATTATTGCCCTTCCAGGTCATTGACAAACCACAGTGCTATTCATGTACTACAGGTAGAAAATAAATAAATACAGATATATTATGCAAAAAAAAGAAATGATTGTACACATAATACATCTGAGGTATTACCAATTTAAATAAGGTTTCATGCTAGTTCAAGCTTCGGTGGCTAGTTAAATTCTGGAATTTGCAATAAATAGATGAAGAATGATTATGTATATAGTGTATGGATCTCTTTTGTAAACCTTGTCCGATTTAAACGTAAGAGTGTGTTGGGCTAACTCTTACGCAAACCACAAATTTTCACAATAAATACAGCTTCAAAAAGTTGTCTTTAAAAGTTCCTGCAACACAGAAACATTTCTAGAAGGGGCTGCGTGTACGACTGGCAATGCTAGCGAGGAGTATTTCTCAACAGGTCTTTTCATACAAAACACAAAGAAATTCATACGTGAAAGTCTTTTTCCCTCCCTCCCCACCCCACCCCATCATGAAAGTTTAGAAATTTTGCACAAACAGCGAGAGAACTGATTGTAGCTGCAGTATGTCAAAACGTCCACGTTCTAAAAAGACCAAAAATAGTTTGTTTGCTTAGAAAGTCCTTTTCTGTTTGTTTTTTTTTCCTCCTTATTTTTGAGTAACGCATCATCCTTTTGGTGAAAGTTTGCCCATCTGACTACTCTTCGGTTTTCCTTCAGGCTGTTCCTTGCTGCTCGAGCCACATGGGCATTTCACACTTTCACCGTCTCCATCAACGACGACTTGATGGCATCCTCCAAAAGTTGATTGTCTGTGAAAGGCGCCGGGGTTTCGGGGACGGATTCGGACAAACCGATAAGGGACTCCAAGAAACAGGAGCCCTGATCTCCAGCTTGTGGGAAACCTGGGAAATTAGGCAACTGAAACTGTAACGCTGAGAAGTTATCGAGGTTCTCGTACTCCTTTAAGGAGTTGTAAAGGGGTCCCAAGTTATAGTCTGAGAAGGACTGGAAGAAATCCAAGGAGTCAGAGGAAAGGCTGAGGTCAGCGTAGCTCTTACATCACCAAATCTTACATTTTCCAAGGTGGAATTTAAAGCCGGTAGGTTTCAAAGCTGTTAGTTTGTTTAACATACCACTGGGGTAGGCACTTAGTGTCTCACTGA